AATTGAGAAATTTGTGGTTTGTGAATTTTTTTTATCTGTTCTGCTGATTTTCTCAAGTGGTTATATACATATGTTTGTAGTTTTGTTTGTGATTTGTTTATCACCTGGGGATGTCTCAAATACGTTTGAAGATTTAATATTTGGTTGTTAAAGGTGTATGTGAGTAAATAGTGTATATTACATGTATTGTGTATCCGCCCCATTCCTACTATAATTGCTACTATACTGATGATAACTTGAATCTGTAAACTTCGAAATATTGTTACATTGAGTGTCCTTGAATTACTCTAATTTTCGTCGATTCGTAAATGGTATTTTTTAAAATAATTTTGTCTTTATCAAAACTGTCTCAAAACTTCTGAGTTCAGGAAGATGTAGAACTTAAAGTTAATTACTCAAATTTGCACACTTTTACTTTATGCCATTAGTCTTATGTAATACTTTAGAACAAGATACAATTAGAGCAGACTTTGGTATGTTACACTGTATGAAAGAAGGGAACATAAAAAAGAAATAATCCATCTTTAAGTACTGCAATAAGTATTCTAGAGAGTTTCCAGCACAAAGCGACTTCTGCCTAAAACTACAAACGAATTGATGGTGCATTATCTTGCTCTTCTGTTTGTAAGTCAATACCTGGACTTAGCTTCAATTCCCTGTCGTCATAAATCCAAGCTTTCGGTTTAAACAAAACAATTATCCCTTCAAATTAATTTTGGTTTAGCTTATTAAAGAGATTACGAACAGGTCAATACATTATTTGAGTGGATGGTAATCCTAACCTTTGGCGTTCCACTGAACAAACGAACATCCACAACAGCTCTTAACTCTTTTGGTCCAACTAAGCAGACAGACACATACTTAAAGGCCTCAAATTTTGAGGGCAATGTTTCGAAAACAGGACCTGACCCATGAATCTCGAATTCACAGTGTGGGCACGGCAAACACTAAACAAACAGGTAAGCATTTCTTTGCAAGATGTCTATATCACTCACATCCTTTGAACTGTCCAAGGAAATATTTGCAAACTACACTAGAACTGACATAACCAATTTTCAACCGATTATTGAAGAGTAAAATGTTCATGGCACTTCCTTCATGCTAAGCATCGTCTAGAGGCTAGCGTGCCCTGACTGTGAATTCGAAGATTCCTGGCTCGAGTTCTACTGCCAAAAAATTGCTTCCGCAATTTGGGGCTATGGTTGTATTATAAAATTAACGGCCAAATCCCAATATTCCGTCAGACAATAGTAACCCAAGAGTTGGCTGCCTGTTTTCCCCCTAATCTATTAGTTTAAAATGATGGATTGCTATGCGCAGTTTTCCTCTACGTAGCTTTGCGAAATTTCTCAACTACAGAATATTGAGGAGTCATACACATTTCAAGTAGGGCTAACGTCACGATTTGGGGGGTGGAGGGGTGAGGTGTTGAGTAGTGGAGCCATAAATTAAAATGGAGATTGGCAGTAATGTACAAGAAATCTGAGAAAATTGTATATGCATATTTTGTGAATGTGCAGTAACTTGAAAATGTGTAAAGCAGTTTCACCTTTACAAATGATCCACATAAACTTAGAGGAGCTGATTAAATATCAGATACCAGGTGATAACTCAACACCAGTTTAAGAACTGTTATTAGAACTGAATTTATTTCTCACTGTACAGAATTTCCGAACTGGAGCACTGTTGAGTAGTTTTTATGAGCTTCCGGAAGTTCAATATCGCTATCACGTCATTTTCGACCTTGTATAAACACTCACATGAGGAAATTGCGCTAGAACTATGACCGCGAAGGTCATAGGGCGAAGTGGCATGCGAGTTTATGGTATCGTTATGTGGAAGATTGTCAGCAAAAATTGATATACAGCTTCAGTACTAACAGTTTAGTTACTTGAAAATCATTTAGAGAGGTGCTAATAAAAACAATACCATTAATGAATAAGAATAATAGCCACCAAACCAACAGAATGAAACATCATCACCATAACATACCTGATGATGATAAAACCTTGTCGAAACGTTGTACATTTGCTGTTATGTTAAACTTATATTAAAGTTTTTCTTCATTACCCATTCAAGCCGTTTCCAGCCATTATCATCACCATAAACATCTAGTTCAAAAGTACGGCACTACTGTGAAAAAAATACATATTATAACCTTGAGAAGTATAATGTCAAAATTTCTAAGTAAACGTCACATGTTATATGTCTGATATTAAATGAACCTTTAAAGCTAAACCTAACAAAAGCATCTATTAACGGAAACCACCTCGGACACGTGTATAGAGTTATGAGGGTTTTACCCGGGTCACAGTAGTCTCACATCACTCAAGAATATAAGACTTCAGTTTTAAAATACAGCGTCATAATCAATTGTAATAACCTAGACTCCAATATTAAAACAGAGAGGATTAGTCACAGCATAGAGACTCCAATGTTACTATAGAATACAACGATTAGTTATAACCTGGAGTTCTAATTTTAATATAGAACAAACAGATTATTCATAAACTGTTGGATAAACTGTAGTGAGAATAGCAGAATGTAGAGAAAACAAGTAAATTTTAGTTAGAATAAACGATCTTTAGTGAAAGTAGACAGACTGTAATGTGGACAAGCATATTTTACTGAAAACAAGTATATTGAAGAAAAACATACTTTAGTGAGAACAAGCAGAATGTAATGAAAGTAGACATATTGAAATATAAACAAGCAAACTGTAATGTATGTAGGCTGATTGTAATAAAAACAAATAGACTTTAGAGCGTCTGTGTGTGTGTGTGTGTTTGCAGCAAAGCTCACCGAAGGAATCGAACAAATTTAGAGAAAATAAACAGACTGTAGTAAATGCAGACAAGCTACAGTGGAAAAAGCAAACTTTAGTGTCGGCATACTAGTGGCCATAGTGAAGAAGAATGAGAATGTAGTGAAAGCAGACACGTTTAAATATTAACAAGCAAACTGTAGTGAATTTAGACAGATTGTAATGAAAACAAGCAGAATGTAGTGAAAGTAAACAGACTGTCTTTAAAACAAGTATATTTTAATGAATGTGGACAAACTGTAGTGAAGGTAGGCAGGCTGTTGTGAATACAATCCGACTGTAGTGAAAATAAGCAGAAGGGTTTTAATGTAAATTTAGACTTTAGTGAAAACAAGCACAATTTGCTGCTGTTGTTGTTATTTTTAACTATGCACAAAGCTACACAAGGGCTATCTGTGCTCTGCCCACCACGGGTATCGAAACCCGGTTTCTAGCGTTGTAAGTCCGCAGACATACCGCTGTGCCACTGGGGGGCCACAATTTACTGAAAGAAGACAGACTGTAATGAAAATAGGCACTTTAGAAAAAAAAAGACTAAAAAGCTTTTTGAATGCTAATTAGATCATATTCTGCTTCTGTTTCCTAACTCTTTTATCGAGGAAACGTAGACGAACTACACATACTAATTAATTCTTATTAAAAATAACAAGTTATATGTAGAGTGAAAAAGTTTGATCTATTTGCATACGCGTATTACATTAAGAATCACAAAACATGTCTAGACTGAAACACACGTACTATGATATAAAAACTGTCTAGACTGAAACACACGTACTATGATATAAAAACTGTCTAGAATTGGAATACATCAATAACATAAAAATAAAGAGTCTAGAATCGGAACATACCTATGACATAAAAATAAAGAGTCCAGAATTGAGACCCATAACGAAAACAATATAGACTTAAACACATTGACTACAACATCAAAATAGCTAATTCTTTAAGAAATGAATTGTTTTTGAGAACAGTGTTTTATAAAAGTGTGTAACATTAACCGTAATACAGAAATTATATGATCGCCTAAACTCTGAAAATACTGGTTATGATATGTAGGCAGTGAACAGCATAAACTCCGTATTATAGTACTTTATTTATAAGCAGTCTTTTCGTAAAGATGTTTATTTATTTGTTTCTGAAGTCGCCAGGAAATTAAACTACTGCTTACGATCCTTACGCCAGTCATTCGGTTGGTCAGCTGTAAGTTTATATACTCACAACGCTAAAATCCTGGGTTCCATTTCCCGCTGTGGACAAAGCTCTTATAGGATATTATGTAACTTTGCGCTAAAACAACAACCTAAGGCCAACTAGAGACACGTATGGATGATGATTAATTTACAGGATTTGTTGTTGTCCCAGAACACAGCAGTATAGCACATTTTTAGTATTAAAACAGAAACCTTCGCTTGTTGGCAAATAATTCGAAATCGGCAATAGTTTCGGTGATTGAGCAAAAGGCTCGAATTCAAAAGAATAAAACGTTATTATCTAAATTGTTACATTTTCTTACAGTTTGTTTTTTTTCCATTTCGAAGAAACACAGATCTTAATGAGCTATTTTTTTTTTTTTAGTTCTTGGCAAAACTGTGAAACAGATAGGACAGCCCAAATATTGAGATGTTATAGTATTTAAATTTTACACATTTTTCTATGTCAAGTAATTTTTGGATTTCTTCATTTTTTTTCAAGTTCTTGGGATGAAATTAAATTCGGCTTGTTCATTGTTTCCAGTTAGGGGACGCAGAACCTTACCTACTATGATCTCTCAACTATTAAGTGCATTATAAATACCACCCCACATTTTTCTTAGCCAGTTATTGACTTCATCATGAGAGTGATCATTCTGAGCATGATCAGGAAAGCCAGTTCTTAATTTGATCATGACAGTAATCATTCAAAGTATAATCAAAGTATTCACTTCGTAACTTGATCACGACAGTAATCGCTAAGAGTATCATCAGGGAAAACAATTTTTAATTTGATCATGACAGTAATTGTTCATGGTATGAGAGACTAGATATTGGGATAATTGTCATTTTATAAGCGGTCAAGAATGTCATCATTTTAGTGGATCAGAGCTTTTCAGTCAAGAATCATGTTCTAATATCTTACACTGAATAATTGTGTTTAATCTAACAGTATCTTACATGTGTTTTTTCTTTGTTTTTTTCAGCCAAAGATGTTCTAGGGTTTCGAGCTACTCAGATGAATAAAACTGACCAAGCGATCGCGTGTTTCAACTTCACTGTTGGAAATCCAGAGAGAATGGAGTTTTATTCACCTCGTTTCCCTAAGAGATATCCTAATAACACTGAATGCATCAAGCACATAGAAGGTGAGTTTCGAGTCACAAAATAATCATTAAACATTGTAAATACTTTTGAGCCAATTCATAAAGAAATAGCCATCGATTTGTACTTAACAAGGAGATCACACATAAATATGCTTGTGGTCAATATTGATCAGGAAAATCATGCATAAATACGTCAGTGGTTGATCACGAAAGTCATGCATAAATATAGCGACAGTTAAAAGTGACTAATAAAGTCTTTTATGAACATTCTGATAGTCATTACTGACCAGAAAGGTCGTGCACCATTAATACACTGACAACCAATATTGGACAGGAAGGTCTAAAGTAAATACATCAACACATTCTGGACAAGAAAATCTAAAGTAAATACATCGATGACAAATTCTGGACAGAAAAGTCTAAAATAAATGCACTAGTGGCCAATATTAGACAAGAGGTTTTTAATAAATACACTGACAACGATTGAGCTTGTTCATTGTTTCCATATAGAAGGCACATATCTCTGTAATATTGCATGCATTATAAATGCCACCCCATAATTTTGCTAGTTCTTGACTTCGTCATGACAGTAATCGTTCAGAGTATGATTAAAGTATTCATTTTGTAATTTAATCACGACAGTAATCGTTAAAAATATGATCAGGAAAGCCAGTTCTTGATTTGATCATGATAGTAATTGTTCTGGATATGAAAGGGCAGATATTGGGATAATCGTCATTTTATAAATGGTCAAGAATACCGTGGAGGCATTATAATATGCCCGTCATTCCCACATTTCATTGGTAAAAGAAGTAATTTAAGAGTTGATGATGGGTAGTGTTTACTAGCCTTCTCTCTGGTCTATCACTTCTTAGATAGGAATGGCTAGTGCAGATAGCTCTCGAATAGCTTTGTACGAAAATAAAAAAACAAAACAAACAAGACATTTAGATATTGAGCAGGTAGTGAATTTTATGGAAAGAAATATGAGTAAAGGCTAGACTCCCACTACGTTTGGAGAAAGACACAATTTGATTTATTGTTTCGCAAGTGTTGGCCAAAAACAATTCCATTGAAATCTGAGTGAGGAAATGACTCTCTTGTTGTGATTGACTAGACTCAACTTGTAGATACTGGGGAGTTAGTAGCAACCAAGAAAGCTTCACAAGGTAAAATATTCCAGAAAAGAGAGTTGCAGATTGTAAGATTATTGAATCATTATACTATAGTCAGACTGAAGTACTTTTGATGTGCAAGTGTGAAAGGAACGATAAAGTGTGCCTCAAAATTTTGATTAAACTTATTGCTGAAATGGTATATATAGAACAGCAAGACATAAGATAAATCACGAATCTATACCGTTATTACTCATACGTGTCAACTTTTCCACAGTTTAACGTACTTTCATTCCTTACAAATCTATCGTCAATGAATCAAGTCTCAAGAGTTTCTTTTTTATCCAAAGTTGCTGTAAATAATCAGGCACATTCCTTTTCATTTTGGTTAAGTTTTGTACTAAAAAGGTTTTTGTTCTGGTATTGTTTTGTGTTGTAGCTGTGATCTGATGTATATTCATAATAAAGAACTTAGTACTTGTTTATATACTGTATTAAACTCTTTATTTTAGCATGATTTTAAGAGCTTTATTTTGTGTATTCGTTTTGTTTCATAGGTTTTCCTTGCTATTTTTGTTTAAAGGGTTTCATAATAGTATGTTTTGTTTTTGATTGGTCAATACCTTCTAATGAAGAAATATATTCTTATATTTCCTTAATAAGCTTGTCATTGTTTAAAGACACTTTTTCAGGTTTGTTTGCATATATGTTAAAAGGCTTATTTTTGTATTGAGAGTAATTTGTTTTTAAAGGGCATTTTTGTATTATATAGAATTATTGTTAGCTACCCCTCCTAAAGATGGTATGTTAGCTATGTTAATTGCGGTTATATACACCTGGAAAAAAGTTAAGCACCCCCAAATATTTTTCAGGATTGCTTATTGAAAATAAGGTTTAATTTTCATGATGTTGAGCAATGTTCATAATTTCAAACATAATTAAAAAGGATGTGAGCGTTCAGGTGTGACATTT